TTATTTGCACAGGAAAATTTGAAGCGAGCTCGCCTGTAGGCATACGTCATAAACTCCCTTTAACACTGCTTGTGTAATTACTCTCATTGCCAGAAGGGGGAGATAAAAGTTCTGCACTGCCGGTTTGATGATGTTGTTTTTTCTCCCAAAATTTTAGGCTAGTGTGATGAGACTGTCAACATACGCACATCGTTCACAAGCTGTGTAACTAGAGCATTTAGCAACATATTCGACCCGTCAGGCTTGTAACTGTGCAGGTGCTTGACATTCTTCTCTGTGATGTCGTGTTTGTGTATAAATTGTGCAGCTCTCATGTCAGTGTCCGATGCTCTCCCAGATGCTACGGGGCATATATCTAGCCATTAATTGGGGCTGAGGGCAAACCCAATACAGATGGTATTTGCACTGTGTGATGAAGAGGATTTTCTGGGTTTACTGCAATCTGCAGTGCAGCTAAGGGAGAAGAGGAGAGACGAGGAGACCGGAAATTGGAAAAGAGAAATGGGGGAGATGGAAGGCTGAGAGAGGGACTGAGAAAGAAAGTGACAAACATTCAGTGAGGGGATTGAAGGCAAGGATGTGCAGAGAGGAGGAAGGAGAGTAAAATACAGAGAAAAAGAGGACATTAAACATACATAGAAACAGAAACATTTAAAATCCATTTTTTTACTCTGTTTAGCTGTTTGATAATCATAGCACTTTGCTATGATCATTCTTTGTTCATCTTTATTGTGTGCTTGAAAATCGAATGGTCATAGAATTTAGGCTTAATATGTCGGTGAGGCCTAAAATGTATTTATGTGGTTTAAAAAGCCCGATCCATACTGTTGTCTAGGCCATATGATTTCACATACAACATTGTAGTTACATGCTGCATGTGGACACCCCAGTCAGGAGGACAAATGGTTAACCCACTTAAAATGTTGCCCTCTTTTAAATCCCAGCTCATCCTATAATTACCACTGATAGAATCTCCTAGAAACTTATTCAACTTCCTAATGTGCAAAGTTAACTTGATGAACTGCGAGCAATAATGCATCTGCGCCCTCCATCAGTCACCATTAAAACTGAGAGCTGGCCATTGCATCTCAATATAGCCTTATTAGCAGTGGGGTTTCTCAAGAAGATGGAGCGCTTGGCATACTAAACCAGACAAGAAGCCTCAGTGTCATGCTGAAAATGAATGGCTACTCTACTGTAAACTTTTTGAATGACTGTCAGCTATGATTAATGTCACTGTTTAGTTGTACTGATGAGTGGATTGCAACTTAACAAACGCCAGCTGTAGATACTGGAACTCTGGTCAGACACGTCGTCTGTTACCACAAACTGAATTAGACTACCGTTCACATTTTATTCTCTAATATTCTCAAAAACCACCAGGATCCATCAGTGGCATACAATAAGTCTAAGTGTTACTGAATTTATAATTTACACATACAAAATAAGACTGTCAGGATGCAAGATATAACCTGCACTTCCCAGATCATTTCCACTGCAGTCACACTGTTTTTTTTTTGTTTTTTTTTTGCATCCCTAAAGAGTTTCAGAAAGGACTTTTTTGATGATCCAAACAATAATGTCCCCCCTGACTCACACATGCAGCCCACACAACTTCCCACATCTCTTTGCTGTATAGAGCAATCTTTCTATTCTCTCATTCACCATAGACCGCTAAGATGATGAATGTTTTACTATTTGACAGTCTTCTTTTCCCTTTTCACTGTTTTCTCGAGACTCCACACTTATTTGTGAATTCCATCGTAACACTCAGGAGCTGAAGCTATATAATGTCAAAGTGTACGATAAACCAACAAAATTGTGGGATACAGTGTATGGTACAATTTGAAGGAGATCGACCGTGAATTCTCTATCTGCAGGGAAAAGCTATTAAATGCGGCAATGGTCCAGAGTAAGCTCGAGAGACATGTTGAGACAAAATACCCATGTGTGGTGGTGGGGTGCTGTGAGAGAAAAAAAAGTCACTATGAAGGAGTGCCATATTTGAAAGAAGCTTGTGTGAACCACTGGTTTATCCAGCTCTCATTGCAGATTCTGCCGCAGTTGCTAACAGCATTTTGATTATGTCATATTTTCGGCTTCATTATTGGTAGTGTTTGACCTAAAGTGATCTTTATCTTTGCTCTAGAATTCTATATACATTTAATATAATGTATATAATTTCAGTAAATCTAATAGTTGAACAATCCGATTATGACCATGCATATTGTTGTCTTGTCTTTAAATAGGCTACTTAATTTGGATTGCTTCACAGAAGAACTGTGGTTTTATAAAAGGTTTTATTTTAAACCAACCAGCTAATACTTTGTAGTACGGGGAATAAACGAAATATGAAGTCACTATCAATATCTTTATAGCATATTCTATCACAGTCATACAGAACATCAGTGCATAGATCTATAGAATGGACACATTATAACAAAAAGTCTATATATAGATAGGTCACCATTTTGATTTTCTTGAGAATTTGTTGACCTTTAAGCTCTAAACAATAATAGTTTGATGAAGAATTTCCTAAGAGCTCTGAGGATGCTATTCAAGTGGGTAATATAGGAGCTGAGACCTCTTCTTTCTGTTTCTTTTCTTTCCTAGTTTCATTATCAAAGATGTTCCATCTCATCTGGAAAATCTATAAATGTAGTTTATAAAATTCCCTTTTTTTGTATATTATGTGTAATATAATCATATCAAATTACAAAATACAGTAAGTTAAAATTTGCACCTCACAGCAGCGACGTGTCTCCCCTCCAACTGAGCAGGAAGAGTAGGCCGTGGAGTTGCAGAAGCAGCGCAGTTACACCTCTCCCTCACAAACATGATGGATCGCAAAACAGGCAGTGTCTAGAAAAACAAAGCCAGCATTTAAGCTCCTAGCTGCCCACTGTTCTTTTCTGTCGTCCGTGGCATAAATCTCAGTCAGGGCATACAGAGTGCTTCCTCTAAGGGGGGTGAGAGGGGTTATTTGTTTCACTTTGCAGGGAGTCTGTTGGAGGTGGGTGGTAGCGATTTCACCTCGTCTCTGGGAAGGTTTTAGAGCCTGATGGAAGATTTAGGACAGCAGACAGTAAGGCTCTGGACAGATATGGATGTATGATAGTGTTAATATGTTAATATGCATTTTTTAAAACACTGTCAGACTGGCAGGCTTGTGTGTGTGTGTGTGTGTGTGTGTGTGTGTGTAATTCTTTACAGTAAAACAACACACGTACTGTATATACTGAACACTGTATACAGTATATACTGAAAGGATGAATGGTAATTCTGCCCTGTACAATAGTAGAGTTGTACTGTGTGTAAAATGCCTCAAATCAGACAGTGCATGTCATTTTTCTCTCTCTGAGCGCACGTGTACTCTTTCACTCTCTCTCATGCATACACACACACATTCACATTGGCAGATAAATAGGTAGCTGGGGATTGGTTCAACCACAACAACAGCTGCTCATGTCTGGCTATTGCCGTGTTAGCTGCAGCCAGCCAGTCTGTGGATCGGAAGACACAGTGTATTTGAGTATGAAAGCTTGTGCTGTATTTGTACCACATACACAAAATAAGTTGTTGTACATTGCACAACGAGGACATGAAGGGTGCAGTTAATAACTTAACAATGTATTTAGTAACAGGGGTGTGCAGGACACAAACAAACTCATGATTCAGTAAATTTGACTGAAAACGCACTACAGTATGATAGTCAATCAGTTTGGTTGTGTTTCAAAGTTTAGTTTTATAAGATAGTTTACAGTGTATATTTTGACAGGGAATGCAAAGAGTGGTACAGAACAACATAAATTAGCTTGTTTTACGATCCTTATCTAAATAAAACTTGAGTAAAATCTAAATTAAAATGTCCTCATTAAGAGTCTTCTCTCTTAATCCTCTCCATCCCCCTGTGGGACATAAAGCCACAAAGAGCTTCCTCCCTCTAGATACTGTAGAAATGCCCAAACTTGTTTTGACTTAAATTCTCCAAACATCCTTAGGTGGGCATACAGCCCAATTTCTAAAACTGTAATGCTTTTCAGCTGTACTATAAAGTGTGAGAAGACAATTTAGAAGTAGTGTGAATGCAAAGTCGATGGAAACATGCAAATAGAGGTGAACAGATGTGGATTTGTAGGCACTAATTTAGATGAAAGTGTTGAAAACGTCTCAAATTGAGTGAAAATCTGCAATTATCCTTAGTTATTTAAATGAATTTTCACTTCCCTCCAGAATCCCAGTTTGAGTCAATTGAAAACATTTACTTGTTGCTGATATCAGCTCCACAGTGTTTTTTTACATTTCTGTATCTCAAAAAATAATTCTGCTACATCCCATTGCACTGTTGAAGTATAACATTTTTACATTTAGAAATGTTCCTAGTGAGCATTTGGAAAAACCCATTTCTTGATATCGCCATATAAGCCATTTATTTTTTGTTTACCACTCTCATTGTTGTCAGCCCTCCTATGACCATGTAAACAAACAATAATTTAAAGAACGGCCGTTTGAAATGTTTTACTTATCGTGAATTATTTTATGGCTTCAGTCTTAGGAGTCGGGGCAGGTTACATTACGGCACTAATATTCCATCAAGCATCAACACACTTATACACATTCCTTGCTTTCAGCTTTCAGTGACTATTATTGTAGCCTTGCTGAATTAATTTGTGGTGGAGTTTAGACCTCAGATATGCTCCAAGTGACCTCCACTTTAAGCACAATGCCTGTCCTGTGGGTGCTGTGTTTGTCTTCTGTGTGTGTGTATGTGTGTGTGTGAGATCAGGGCGTGTCTTCAGATGGTCATCAGGGGGCCAATGAGAGGATGCCTGGAATGGAGGCGCACATACACACACACACTGAGGCTCGCAGACGCACTCACACACAGATTAACGGGGTAAGCTGTGCCGCTCATCTGGGATAAATGCGGTCAGAGAGGGGAACAGCTGAGCAAACAGCTCTGGCAAGAGGCAAAGAGCAGAGTGGAGAGGGAGAGGGAGAGAGCGAAGCGGGGATGACGAACTATTCATCCCGGCGCAGTGGTGGCGACCGGCTGCCACGTTGGATATGCATCAGCCCTGAACCTGGGAGAATGGGAACCAGTGGAGGTAATGTCTAACAGATACACACATATACTACACTCACCTGCCAGTGTGGTCTTTTGTTGTTGTTTTTCCTGGGGCAAACTGCAGTGGGAATGGGAATAGTAAGGGCAAACTAGTTCACTGTGCCCTGGAAGACATAAAATACTGGGATGCCTGGGAAATCCCTTGTCTTTTTTTAAAGTGACAAATTAAGGACAAGTGCCCCTGCAGGTCTGTTCTCTGTGTATCAATCTTTATCATTTTTTCCTCAACAGTCTGGCAGCACTTGAACTTGCTCTGTCTTTTAAAAAATAAACAAATATAGAATACATGAAACTGTAGAAATTAATATAATATGACAATATATAAGACCTACACTTCTACATCTAAACTTTAAACCAAAACTCGTATTTGAAGTGACATAATTTGCAGCACTCCAGATGTGAGTGGTGTTTTATAAGAAACAGCAGCAGAGGTATTATGCAGGGACATGCACCCTTGTTTTACAGTACATTATGAGGCCAGATGGCCTGATGCTGATATTCAGTTATGAACCAATGAAACTGGTGTCATTAGGGTAGATAACAGTGATCTGGCACATTAATCCTCCACTACTCAGTCCAGATGAAGGTTAAATAGAGCAACCGTTGAAATGATCATAACCCTAATTGGCTGGGTTGCTGCTTGATGCCAAGCTTGATCTTGAATTATGGGGTTAGACTCTAGGCTAGTAAGTACTTGAAAGCAAGAGTGTTAATCATTTTTTATTTCTTTTGCTAGGGGAAAACAATGAATCTATGAGGAAAGGAGTGCATGACAGCTCTGGAGCACTAATTGTATCAGCCACACTTTATTCAACTCCACTGTAGTGCCAAACACATTAGCCTGTCCCTCATTTATCCACATAGAAAAGTCAAAACTAATAGGTAAGGCTCAGTGCAATTTAAGTTGCAAATTGAATTGTGACACTTAAAATCCCCTTTCGTCTCAGGGCTTTCAGAGGTTGTCATCTTCTGGGCCCATTCCGTTGCCCAACTCAATTTACTCACACTGAAACCTTCTTTTCAGTGTCACTACAGGCTTTAGGAATTACCAAGCGAAACATTAACTGTGATCCCGGAGTCTCATTTTGCCGCATTGACATTTCTAGGACGGACTTGTTGTCGCTGAATATGCTGTAAAAATGCAGCAAAAAAACTTTGTCAAAAGAATATCTGCTAAAAAAAACACCCCAAAAAAGCGATGCCTCAAAAAGAGTATCGACTTGAAGGTCTAGAGACATCATGTTCACTTTTCTTTACTTTACTTTTGACAAGTAAAGGGCTTGTTTTGTCTGGTTCTCTGCAATTGTTCCCTTTCATGTCCAAAAAGATTTGACGTCCAAAAACAGTTGTTTGGGTTTCAGAAAAGCCCTTTGTCAACTGCTCCTCCAAAAGACACAGTACATACAGTATACACAGTCTATTAGGCAAGAAACTTGGTACAATCTAAGAAACCTTTTGAACTGCATTCTGAGAAAGATGTTTACTTGTAGATAGCTGGTTTTATGTTTTCATCCAGTTTTCTTTTCATACCTGCACAGCGCACCTCGCTCGCTGGGTTTAGAGGGTCAGTTGTAGTCTGTTGCGAGGTTTTTGTGCAGTGGGATTTTTAGTTAGTTCAGGATTTAGTTCAGGATTTAGTGATGTATTTATTTATATACTGGCAACGCAGGTCTGCATCCTCCTAAAACCCACACCTAAAATCAGATTTTTGCTACTTGGCTTCAGTCATCGTACAGGAGAAATACTGTTCTTTAATCTTCTTTAATAGACATTTGTAACCTATGAACTGTATCTATATAGTATGTAAACACGGCGTAAGGTCCTTTATTGTATTGTGTGACTGAAGTGAATCAACATCATCACCAGCATCTTTCTCTTTCAGAAATGCTTAAACAAGTTTGAGGGAAACAAGTGAAGGCTCTGTTGTATTTTAATACAGTCACGTCACTGGATATTATGCAGAATGAGGACCACAACACGTAGTCCTGAACAGATGGTTTGCTCAATGATGCAGATCAAATGGAGCTGGATGTGTGTGGGCACAGATGATTGTCCATACCTGTTTGCACAAGTGCATCTGCTTTTGTATTTGTCCGTTAGTGCGCGTATATGTAGTAACACCACCAAACCCTTTCGTCTTCTTCCTGTCTTGTTGTCTCCCGCCGTCACCTCGCCAGATTGGGAGAGCAGCTGATGGCGGTTATCAAATTCCCACTGCTTCTCTGTCAGTCTCTTTACCATTCATGTCCCATGTACGAACCTCCTGCCAGTGTCTCGGGAGGCTCTCCCAGTTAAACCAAGGTTAAATCAAATCAATTCCCGTGTCCACATGATTAGGCCTTACCCAATTGTTAATTATCCAGAGCATGGGGGAGTTGATGAAAGCGATGGGCAAGGGGACGAGTGGAGGGGGGGATATAGGGGCACTTTGATGGAGTCCTGCGGTAGAATGTTAAAGGCCTACAGTTGTTGTTATATATAGTCTCTTGTCCCAGACTCACAGCTTCTCAAATGTGAGGATAAGTTGCTTTTGTATACCTTGGGTTTTGAGAGCCTGTGATTGACATTTTCACCATTCTTTGGCATTTCATAGTTTAAACTATGAATCTATTAATAGCACCAAAAAAATAAATTAAAAAAAATCCATAAAGAAGATAAGATAAAGAAAATTGACTTGTCACTCGGTACCTACACTGGCCTGACAACTCATCACATCTGTGGTCGCGTCCCTGTCTTACCAAACCAACTGTTTTCATTACAAGGTCTACCAGAGATTTTCATGTACTGTACTCAACATGCACTGTGCTTCTGGGTCAACCAATATAACAGTAATGTCAGATCGAGAACTAATAATGTCAAAGTCTTTTTTTTCCCACCCCATTGGGCCTAAAAGTGAGTCATTTGAAATTTAGCTCTGGTGTCGGCGCTTTCCTTCTGTTGCGCTGCCAGAAAATGGCTTTGTGAGGCTATTTTAGTGGAGGCTTCAAAGATTACGTTTCCCCAGATTTGCTATTCTGGGAGTAAAATGGCCTTTTGCGGTGTAACAGGCTTCTGATGGGAAATGCTCCTGAAGGGAGCGCGAGCCCTGGGTCACTGTGACTTTTGGGCCTGTAGAGATGTGGATGTACTGCAAGTCTATGCTGCTGTTCAATGTTCAAAGGCCTGCGTTAGCTGTGAGACTCAGAAAAATATACATCTACGCACAAACATACACACTCACTCTCTTATTTTGATACACACGCTGCTTAATCTTGTCTCTGTGATGGAGACAGATGAACTTCTCGTGTCCTAAATTTTGGTCACATTCTTGGTAGTGGGCTTAATCTGCCAACACTTAGCTTTTCCACATAATCTCAAGAACCTTCTTTAATCCAGGGATGTCTGCAAGCTTTCACTATAAGCTTCTGGGAAGCTGCACTGTGCATGTGTGTTTGTGTGTGCATGTGTTTGCTTTCACTGCCATGTTTCTCCTTTGCTGACTTGACTTTTCACACCACTCAGCAGCAGTAATGAGTATGAGGCTGGTTGTGACAGGCTTCACACAAGCACCATGCATTATTTAGCTAATGGTCAGGTGACAGATGCTTGAGTGCTTGTACTGAGACCAGTGTCCCACTGGGCAAAGGCTGCCCTCCTCGCCTCTGCAATCACCTCATTTCTTTCTGAATAAGATCAGTGATGTCCCTCTCTGCTGGTCAGTGAGCTCACTGTGGTTTTTCTGGGTATCCTCCCAGTAGTTATTGTGGCCTCCCATGGGCTTATGTTTGAAAGTTTGCGGCCACCTACAGCTTTAAAGCTAATATCTGAGTCTGAGTGCAGAAACTACCCATCACATTTACATGATCAAAAAACCAAATCAGACAAGCCTCACCAGGACACCAAAGCAGTTCAGAGATGTACTTGTCATTCTGAGATAAATCCAGCTGTGTGCACAGTTTCCTTTTGTCTCCATATTAAAACATTACTTTATATAGGTATATTACATGTCAGGTGGTGCTCCCTTCTCAAAACCCTACATATCATATACACAGATGAAGGTGATGGACCAATCAGTCAGATGTTTAGGGTTGAAATAGTTATATAAAGATATATTGCGAGACAGTTTTCAGTAGTAATTTTGATGACTGATTAAGTCATATATCAAGGAAAAGTGCCAAACATTTGCCAGTCCAAGCTTCTCTATTGTAAGGATTTGTTAATTTTGTTTGTTTCATGTCATCCTAAATGGAATATCTTTTGTCTTAGATCTTTGTCGCATGGTCTGGAAAATCGTGATGGACAAAACAATATTAAAGGGAGTGGTCAATAATGAAAATATTTGCTCGTTGTAGCCCTATTTGTCTTTGCATTGTTTTGCCTAGCTGTGTTCCTCTGAGCACTGTTATTGTATTATTGTACTATTATTATGCCAGACTCTACATTTCTCTGAGGCAGTATGGGGTAGATAGTTCGGGGCAAATCAGGTCAAGTTAATTAAGGACCCAAGATATCAATCTAGCCTCTCTCATTATACTGTTGCATAAACAACAAGGTAAATAATTTCTCCCTAATTTTCATACATTGAGCTGTGTGGCAAAAAAAAACAAAACATGAAATGTCTGTCCAACTTTACCCCAGCTGAGGCGCTTGGAATCTAATGATGCTAATTGCAGTCATTAGCTTGGCTTTAGGGGAGCGGCTCAGATGTTGTTTGGACATGGACGTTTATAGTGACACATTCTGTTGTATTGTGTAGTATCATCCAAAGCTAACTGGAGCACCATGGAGTGCTGGCTGGTGTAATTGGGAGATGTTAATTAGTCTATTGGATGGAGCTTGTACCCTCCTGAGTATTGCCTTTGTGCGCTGCCCTTTTCTGTGTACAAAGCCAACCTAATGCTCATGTCAGTGTAAATGTCTGAATATGTGTGTGTGTGTGAGAGAGAGCAAAACAGAAATCATAGGACAGTGTGTGTGTATGTCTCTGTTTGTATATATGCA